ATTGTAGAAATCTTCAATTTCTTCCTCTTTGGCGTTAGTGGTCGGTGCATAAACTTGAATAATAGTCACATTAACTGGTCTTCCTTGTAGGCGTATGGGTATTAACCTATCACTGACAGCTCTGTAATTTAGGACAGACCTTGAAATGTTCTTTTTGATGATGAACGCAACACCATTCTTCTTCAATGTCTCACCCAGAATAGTAGACCATATGATTGCCAGATTCAAAATGGCCAGAACCAGCCCATTCCAGCTCACTAATGCCTAGAATATTGATGTTTATGTTCCATTTCATTTTTGATGACTTTCAATTCTCCTCCATTCATACTCTGTACATCCCATGTTCCGATTACTAATGGATATCCCGGAGGTGTTACTCCATCCGTTATCTTCCCCAGTCGTACTTTGAGTGCGTTCCGACCTAGGGGGCTCATCTTCCAGCACAGCACTAGCAACACAAGAAAGAAGGAAAAGACCAAAATGGATGTCAGGAAAGACTCTGAAACTTGCTCTAAAGTGCAGAGTAGCTAAAGCGAACAGAAGAAATGATGACGTAAAAGAGCTGAAGATTTCAAACGGTTGCTTGAGAAGACAAGGTACAGTATTACAATGAAATATGCAAATACCTGGAGTTAGAACAAGGGAAGAATACAACTGGCATTTCTCAAGCTGAAAAAATTTAAGAGAAAATTCAAGCCTTAAGTTGCATTACTAAAGAACTCCATAGGCAAAAGAACTGAATGACACAGGAAGCATCAAAACAAGATGGAAGAAATATGCTGTACCAAAAAGAATTGGTTGATGGTCAACCACTTCAGAAGACAGCACATGATCAAGAATCGCTGGTACTAAAGAAGAAGTTCAAGCTGCACTGAAGGCATTGGTGAAAAACAAGCCTCCAGGAACTGAGGGACTACCAAATGAGATACTTCAACAAATGATGCAATGCTGAAGTGCTTGTCTATGTCAAAAGTGTGGAAGATAAGTATCTGGCCAACTGACTGGCAGAGATCCGTATTTGTGCCCATTCCAAAGAAAGGTGATATCAAACAACCTCATTACCCTACCAAAATTTTGTTCAAGATAATTAAACAATGACAACAGTCGTCCATCAACAGGGAACGGTCAGAAGTTCAAGCTGGATTCAGGAGAGGATGTGGAACGAGGGTTATCGTTGATGTCAGATGGATTTTGGCTAAAAGCCGAGAATACCATAAAGATGTTTACCTGTGTTTTATTGGCTATGTGGATATCAACATTTGACTGTGTGGATCATTACAAATCATGGATAACATTACAAAGAATGGGAATTCCAGAACATTTAATTGTGCTCATGTGGAACCTGTACATAGATCAAGAGGCAGTCATTCAAACAGAACAAAGGGATACTGCTGGTTCAAAATTGGAAAAGTAAATGGCAAGGTTGTGCCCTTTCACCGAATTTACCAATCTGTATGCTGAGCAAATAATCCAGGAAGCTGGACTGACTATATGAAGAACGTGATATCAGGACTGGAGAAAGACTCATTAATAACCTGTGATATGCAAATGACACAACCTTGCGCGCTGAAAATGATGACTAATGCCCTCAGTATGGATTACACTTGAAATAAATGGAGAAAATACTGAAGTTGTCAAGGATTTCATTCCAGTTGGATCAACAATCAACACCCATGAAGCAGCAATCAAGAAATCAAGAACACGGAATATTCTGTGGACTGCCAGAAGAACAAACAAATCAGTCTCAGAAAAAACACAATCGGAACGTTCCTTACAAGTAAGATGGCAAGACTTCAACATGTTTACTTCTGACATGTCATCAGGAAAGGCCAATAACCAGAAAAGAACAAAGTAGAGGACCAATGAAAATGAGGAAACCATCAATGAGATGGATTGACACAGCAGCCCCAACAATGGCTATGCAACAATCATGAAGATGGAATGGGACGGGATAACTTTTAATTGTTGTGCATAAGGCTGCCATGCATCACAGCTGATATGACAACAACTAACAACAAAATATCCTTATTTAGCATCTTTTATGCAATAAAACTACCAAGGGAAAATGTTTCACCCTTTGAAAAAATAATTCTAACAAAGCTATAATAATCCATCATTGCTGTTAGTTGCTGTGAGTTAGCTCCGATTCATGGCGACTTTATGTACAACAGAAGGAAAAGTTGCCCGCTCCTGTGCCATCTTCATGATTGTTGGTATGTTTGAGTCCACTGCTGCAGCTATTATGCCAATCCATCTCACTGGGACTCTTGCCCATTTTTGCTGGGCCTCTATTTTACCACAAGGAATGTCCTTTTCTAGTAAGGTGTCCTAAGTAAGTGAGTTAAGTCTTGCCATTCTCACTTCTAAGAACATTCTGGTTGTATTTCTTCTAAGACTGAATTCTTCATTCCTCTGGCAGTCCACGGTATATTCAGTATTCTTTGCCAACACTACAGTTTGAATATATTGATTCTTCTGTCTTCCTTTCTCATTATCCAACTTTCACATACATCAGGCTATTGAAAAGACCTGACAAAATATAATAAGCTATTGTTGGCATGCACATTAGGTGACCAATTTGCAGCCTCTTCTCCGGTTAGACTGTAGTTGGAGCACATTTAAAATTGTGGCATGTGCCTTCTGTTTTGCTGCAGTTTATAAAATGGTCACAGACTATGATAGTTTAAGTAAACAATTAATATTCAAAATACACATAAAGGTAGTTATTTGTATATTATAAACATTTAGGTAAATAAACAAACATTTGTTCCGTAAGATAACATTCTTTGAATATCTGTTGGGCTAGTAATCAACTTGATTGGTCATCCTCCAAACCAAACCTAAACCCACTGCCATCAAGTTGATTGTGACTCAGAGACCCTACAGGACTGAGCAGAACTGCCCCACAGGGTTTCCAAGGCTGTGAATCTTTACAGAAGCAGATCGTCACATTATTCTCCAGTGGAGCAGGCTGGTGGTTTCAAATCGCTGACCTTTTGGTCAGCAGCTAAGCGCTTAGCCACTGCACCACCAGGGTTCCCTGGCCATCTTCCAAGGCAAATTAAATGCAAGTTGGCTTTTGAAGATCCCTTTTAGACCGTTCTAACCTCAACAACTTTGTCAAATTAACGGTCAAATGTGCATTGTTTCTGAGTTGCTCATTAATGATTCAAATCCAACTTCAATTAGATACAGAATAGGTTTGTCTTAAAAAAAAATGTTGTCTTAAATATAGTTTTGGAAAATACCTGATGCGTGTGTAAGAGAGTGAGAGTGAGAGAGAGACAAACATGTGCTGTAACGTCTGGGATGACTGCTGTGACTCTGGTTTCAACCTTGCAATTCTATGATTTCCAATTCTACATTCATTATTTACGGTTAAGACAGTCCAAATAAAGGATTATCAAAAGCCAACTTACATTTAACTTGCTCTGGGGGATGACAAATTGATTACTAGCCCAACAGATATTTCCAAAGAATGGTACCTTATGGATTACTTATACATAAATAACTATCCTATTATCTTGGATATAAATTAAGATACCATAACCTGTGCCCATATAACCGCAGCAAAACAGAAGACACATGCTACAATTTTAAATGCACACAAAAACTACACTCTAATCACAGAAAAAGCTGCAAATTATAAGTCACTTCTAATGTGCACACCAGCAACAGCCTACATCATTACATTGGGTCAAGGGCTGAAGCTTGCAAGGAAGAACTCAGAAATTTGCATTTTTTTAACACCCTCTTGAGATAAGCACACTTAAATTTGAAAGCCGTTGGTTTAAGACCTCGTAAGGAGAATCAAGCTAAGATGGAAATACTGAAAACACTAATAAATTCAGAGGTCAGCTAAAAAACAGTCAGTAAAAAACCATATATAAGCACCAAAGAATTCCCTTCCTTCCTGACTAGCAACTCACATCAAAAAACTGATGAGAAAATGTAGCTTTCGCCTGTCAAGAAAACAGACAAGGTAAGAACAAATGGAAACTTTCTGAAGACTTTGGAAGAATCAAAATATTTCCCCACAACTGTAAATGTGGAAAACAAACCACCAAATACTTATAATCTCTCTTGCTTTGAGTATTTTTCAATTCTTATAGTTGGTTATATGAATGGTCTTTCATCAGTCAATTGTCTGTTTGATTTTGCCCATTTGGTTTCCTGCAGTACATTCATTGTCCATTTCACATTCTGTATTACTTCCTACTCTTAGTTTTCTTTTAAACACCTAGCTATTTAATGCCTTTTAAAACAGAGCTGTAAGAAAGAAAATGCTGAGCTGGCGTAAAGTATCATACCTGTAATGCCAAGATTCCTATTAACATACACCGTGTGCTGTACACCCATGTAACTGCACTACTAGCCTTGGCAGCCATCTTGAAAATGATGCCTGGCTCACAAGGGGGATCCATGGAGAGCACTGTGAGTAAACTGCATGTTCCCATCACTACTACTACAGTTTAAGGAGAAATCTTACAGGAGTAGCTTGTAGCTTCAAAACCTCAAATACAAGAACAATGTTTTAATTTATCATGGACTAAGGCCACTCTAGTAAACTACAACGAAGGCTTTAATACATTTTATACGAAGTATTCAAAAGACAGCATATATTGAAACGTTAAACAAAGGCAGTATAACCTTACAATAAAGATGACTAAAAATCTCATATACTTGACACATTACTTCACTTTGCTCTAACTGTTAAGGTATAGCTCATTTATTCCCTTTGTCTTTTAAATAGCTTTATGCCATAATGAAGCCTTTGAAGTTAGCTTTAGATTAGTATTTAGCCGCAAAACAAAAATCTCTCGATCCACTAATCCCTTCAGTCATCGAGAAGAACAAAAACCACACCAACGATACACTAGCGGCATCAGTCGCCCTTCAGAACATGCTAGACATGCTTAAAACAATCCCAAGCCACGCAAAGCCTACAGACTAAAAACATGCGAGAAGTAGAACGGAGTCTTCATTGAGGGTCATCTCACCTGTTGATGAAACCATATCCGTTTCTTACATTGAACCATTTTACTGTTCCCAAAACCTTCGTTGCTGGGGGGAAAAGAAAAAACCCACGATTACTAGTCTTTTTAAAAACAGCCACGCTTCAGCATCCGGTCCCTCACATGCTTCCCAGCAGCCCGGGCGACGCCACCTGACAGCCTTTTCTCTTCCAAGTCCGTTTCCTGGGCCGCGCTTTCAGTACAATGACGCCGTTAACGGTACACGTGGGTGAATTCGAAGCCGTGGGGCGCCCCAGGGACAGGCTGGGGGCGCGAACCCAAAATGGGTGTGTGCGAAGACAGTGAGAGCGGGCGCGGCTGCAGGGCGGAGAGCACGTGAAGGAAGGGGAAGCCGCCCGGGCCCACTCCGGCCTGCGTAGGCGGCGCGGCATACCGCGCCCTCAGGATACACGCGGAAGAGAGCTGGGTGGGGGAGACGGGAACAACGGCATGCGGCCCCGAGCTCACGAGGCAGACGGGCGGGGAGGGGACCCCGCCACACACGCGGTCGTCAGCGCGCGGCCAGCCGGGGGGAGGGGCGCGCGGGGTCCACAGGGGGCGCGGGAGTCAGCGCGCGCGCCTGCAGGGCACGCGGGCCAGCTCCCGCGAAAGCGCGAGTGGAGGGGCGTGGGGGAGGGGCAGCCGCGCGCTCGCCTGCTCGCCCCGCTTCGGGTAACGGTTCCGCTGCCAGGCTTCCCCACGGCCCCACCCTCGTCCCCGTCCGGCCCTCACCGATGACCTTCTTGTCCCCGCCGGCAGGCGCCGCCGATGTGAGGCCGCCCGGGCCGCCGCTCCCTGCGCCGCTGCCCGTAGTGCCGGGCTTGGTGTCAGCAGCGCTGAGGGCGGGGGCGGCGGGGGGGGCGGCGGGGCTTTTTCAGAGGAGGCCATCTTCATTTTGCAGGGAGAGGAATTCAGAGTAAAGGGCAGACAGGTCAGCAGAAGGGGGGGGCGGCGGGCGGCTGCTGGGTCTCGGCCTCGCTGCTCATGGTTGCGGTGATGGTGACTGGGGCCGGCTGCGGCAGCTGCGGCTCCTCCCGGGGTGTGATGGTAACTAGGCCGGCGGCGGCGGTGGGGCTGCTCAGGGCTCTCTGGGGTCCGCTCTCCGCTCCCGCTACCGATCGAACTAGCGAGAATGGCGGGACAGGCGGGATAAGCCCTGCGATCGACCCGCCCTAAACGCCGTTCACTGGTTAGCACTGTTGTCAATCTCACCACCTGACTCCAATTTCTGGCTCCTATTGGCTATGACTTTATCACTCTTTCACTCTTATTGGCTCTTAGGCGTCTAATTCGGCCGACCTACAACCGTTCCTGCCTCCGCCGCCGCCATAGAGACCGGAACTAGAATTAGAGTAGAGTCGCCACGAGAACCATAGAGTACCTGAGCGAGCGGGCGGACCGAACTTGATTTTCACGAGGCTACATCTTGGACCGGCCTGCCCTACGGCCAGGGTTGTGCTTTGGCCAAAGGAAAGGCATAGCCAAGCGCGTGGGCCGGGATTACCCGGCCTGACCCGGGGGCTGGGAAGGGAGCCCGACACCGTAGCCCCTTGTGCAGAGAAGGCCGCCCTCCCTTCCTATTCCGAAAACGGTTCTTGTGACTACAGACTACTGTCGCTGGGATAGCGCCGTCTTTTTGTAATGGCCGTGTACTCGCAGCACAGCCGAAGGTTTCGGGAACAAACCTTAAACGTACGCATTAGAGCAGTGTCGAATTTTGGCGAAGCAGTCACCTTGGACCGACAGCGTGGGATCTCAGACCGCCTCTGCTCAGCATATTTAGGGTGGGGGTTGGGGGAGGTCGGGAGTATACTCCATGGTGACCTGCCTTCGGATCCATTTTACCAGGGATATAACGAATGATGTTAAGTATTCACGTCTTCTCACATGGGCCACAAATCAGATTTAAACGTTTATTGAGCAAGTTAGGCACTTTTCTTGCATTTTATCCCTACAACAGTTATGTGAAATAGAGATTACTATTCACCTTTCACAAACGATGAAATTGAGGCGAGACCTGATGTTAAATCCACCTTTATTCGCTCTTTATTAGACATCTACTATCTGCTGAGGGAGTCAGTTTCTGCCCTCTGGAATTCAGTCTACGGATAGAAGCAGAAATTTAAACACCCAATTCCACTCCAGAGCTGTGAAAGCATAAAAGCATTTTGGGAGTGGAGGTGGGAAAAGGAAGGTGGAATGCTGCCTTTCCAGGCACAGAGAGGTTTATAGAAAGGTCCAGAGGCAAGAAGAGATGGCGTCTCATAGGAAATGCAAATAAAGTAGTTCAATAAGACTAGAATGATATGGGGTTCTAGAAGTGGGCAGGATCAAATTAGGAATACTTTATGTGAAATTTATCATAAGGGCAATAATCACAAACGCAATTTTAGAATTGTAAGCTAGGGAGTGGCATGATCTTTTTTAAATGGCTGCTGGGTGGAGAATGGGTTGTAGAGGGGCAAGAATTGAAGCAGGGAAACCAGTTAGGAGGCTAGTGCTGCAGTCCTTACCCCTATCAGTATCATCTAGGCCTGTCAATTCCACTTCTTAAAGGCCTCCCAAATCAGTCTTAAAAATCTCTAAATGTCAGCCCAGAGTCTCTTCATTCCTACTGCTACTTCTCAGTCTAGGCCATCATCTATTGCTTAGAGCAGGGATAAGCTTTTTTTTTTCTGAAAGGACCAGATAGTAAATATTTTAAGCTTTGTGGCTCTTATGGTTCTCTCAGCTACTTAACTCTGCCTTTATAGCCTGAAAGCAGTCATAGACAATATGTAACTAAGTGGCAGCTGTGTGCCAATAAAACTTCATTTGTGGACACTGCAATTTTCATTTCATGTAGTTTTTGCATGTCAAACTATTCTTTTGATTTTGGTTTGACTATTTAAAAATATGAAAACCTTTCTTATTCTTAGCTCATGGAGTGGAATCTGGGCTGCCAGCCATAGTTTGCTGACCCCTGGTTTAGAGCACGGCTATGGGCTCCTAATGGTTTCTCTTTATTCTAATATTCCCTAGCACAACTGCTAGAATGCTCTTTTGAAAACATCTGATTATGACAGTTTTACTTAAAATCCTCTAGTTACTACTACTACCCTTAAAAAAAAAAAAAATAACCCGTAGGATAGTCCAAATTCCTTAATGTGGTTTACAGGACTCTATAACTTCTCTAAACTGTTACCTCCCCAGTCTTCTTTCACATAGCCATTGCTTCCTTTGGGCTGTCATACCCTATTCCCTTCTGCCTGTAATACACTTCCTTTCCCCCTTCTTCCCCTTTGTCTGGTTAATTCTTCACCCTTTAGGTCTTGGCTCAGATGTCATTCAGTTAGGCATCTCTCCCATGTGATACCACAGCATTCTGTACTTAACACTAACACTGTATTGCTCTAATTAAGTATTTCCTGCCAGACTGTGAGTTCCTTGAGCACCTAGCATAGTGCGGGACATGTAATACCTTAATAAGATTGGAGAAGGCACGAGCAGCAGAAGGGTCATGTGGGCAGCTGCACCAGTAATCCAGGTAAAAAAATGGGGCTTGCAGCAACAATGTGGAAGGAGAAAAGTACGTAGGTGGATCCCACAGGTGCTATTCATCTGTTCCAGCTACAAGTGACTTTTGACTGTTAAAAAAAGAAAAATCTTTCCTCAAAAGGCCGTTAGTTCTGCCAACATTGAAGACATTTAAAAACATCTTACAGGCTCGAAAGCTTTTTCCCAAAGAGGAGTTCCAAAGACACTAATGGCAGCAGCACTTCTGAGAACAAGGGAGCAATCTCCCTCTGTAACTGCTTTGAATGGATGGTTTAGTAAGCTGAAATATAAATTCTGTAACATTTGTCTTTTAAAATGTTACTTAAAAGTATCATTTCTTACTCATCCAATTACTTCACTCAGCTCTCCATGTTCAGCTTCTCAAATGTGTAAAGGAGCAGTTTAAGAAAAATTAGTTTCCTTGTAGCCACCTCTCTACTACTGCAGATGCTACTGAAGCACTGGATGATAAACATAATTCATGCTGAAATTCTTCTGATCCAAAGTGGTAGCTCCCCTGCTGGTCCCTGTGCCATTCTGAGCTCACCCACACGGCCCAGCTGTCCATGGTGACTACAGTACAGGTGACCACAGCCCTGTACAGACAACCCCAGGGCCTAGCTCTAAGTGATGTGAGGGCCAAGGGGACTCATCCCAAGAATCACCTTTGCAAAATAACTTTTGCCTTGTTCCCCATGTCTAACAGACTCTGGCCTAAGAACATACTTGCCTTTTCTTGGAAAGCCTTCCCCACCCTCATCTCCTAGCTAATTCCAACCAATCTGTCAATACTTACCTCAAATGTCACCTCCTCCCAGAAATCTTCTTTCTTTAACCTCTTCCTCTCAACCCATCTCTCCGCTTTGCTCCCATCGCATTCTGTACATACCACTATCATGTACTTGTTCATGCGAATATATTTATTGAGCACCTACTAGGTACCAAAGGAACACTGGTGGTAGTGGTTAAGCGCTCAGCTGCTAACCGAAAGATCAGCAGCTTGAACCCACCAGCTGCTCTGCAGGAGAAAGATGTGAGAGTCAGCTTCTGTAAAGATTACAGCCTTGGAAACCCTATGTGGCAGTTCTACTCTGCCTTACAAGGTCACTAAGAGTAGGAATCAACTTGATGGCAGCAGGTTTACTAGGTACCAGTTATTTACCTCTTCCAGTGCTGAAAACATGGCCATAAACAAAGTTTTCTGCCCTCATAAGGACTCACATTCTAATACTCACCACCTTGAACTGAAACTGTGCCCAACTCCTGTCACAGCATGGGCCACATTCTGTTCATCTTTGCAGCTTGTGTCCAGAACAGAGACTGGCACAGAATGCAGGTGGTAAGTATAACAACTCAACTGAACAGTCCATCACAAGAATGTCAGCTCAGGAACACAGCTGCTCATTCATCTTCTTAGCTATGCTGTTGTTAGTTGCTGTCAATTCAATTCAGACTCATAGCGACCCCATGTGTGAAGAGTGAAACTGCTCTGTAGCGTTTTCAAGGCTGTGACCTTTCAGAAGCTGATTACCAGGCCTGTCTTCTGAGGTGCCTCTAGGTGGGTTTGAACCACTAACCTTTTGGTTAATAGTCAAGGGTTTTACTGTTTGCACCATCCAGGGACTACAGAGTTGCAAATGTCTACATTGTAGGGCTTTTGTCCCCCAATACACTGAAATGACACTTTAAACCAAGTTCTATTCTGTCAAAGAATTCCCCTCTCTGCTACTGCTGCAGTATCCTGCTGCCAGTAGTTATGAGGCAGCCCTGTCTGAGACGGGAGAAGAAAGCATGAATAGGAAAACAGAAAATACCTTCTGAAAAGAACACCAGGGAACTTTCTTCTTTACCTCTTGAACATTATACTCAGTGGCATCGTTTTATGTTGAGGTATTTCCTTTCAAAACTAACCTGTTACTGTTAACAAGATACCTTCATATTCATTCTCGTTTGATCCTTTCAACAATGCTATTAGGTAAATTGGGAGTCCCTGGGTAGTGCACATGGTTAATGTGCTCGGCTGCTAACTGAAAGGTTGAAGGTTTGAGTCTACCCAGAGGCACTTTGGAAGAAAGGCCCGGTTATCTACTTCCAAAAAGTCAGTTACGGAAACCCCTAGTTCTTCTCTGACACCCATGGGGTCGCCATGAGTTGGAGTTGACGGTAACAGGTTTTATGAGGTAAACTGGTATTATTATCCCCATTTTACAGACAAAGAAACTAGAGTTCCAAAATGGGAAGTGAATTTCTCAAGACCTCAATTTTTTCAAAAATGACCCCAAATCCAAACTGAGACTTTTGACTAAATTATTCCTATCACATCATGATCAAGCCACATTCTATCAAATGGGCTTCCACTCAAGAACACTCCCAGTTAGTGGCTTTTTTCCCGTTGGCTCCTGAACAAATCATATTGAACCTACTGGGAACATCCAAGGATGTTTCCTTGGAATAAATATTGCTATAAGGCCCTGAGGCTTTGCCTTCTTTGCCCTAAGACAGAATTGCTACAATTGCTTGCAATTCTGAAACATCAACTATACATAGCAAGGGCTTGGCTCTGGTTCATGCTGGCCTCTGGGAAGAGCTAGTCCTACCAGCTGAAACTGAGGAGTGAGGAGATGGAGGCTGTCATTGCAACCATTTTAAAACATCACACACACAAAAAAAGAGAAAAAACCAAACCAAAACAAACAAAAAAAAAACCCCAAAACAAACAACAAAAAAAACCCTTTATTTACAGTTGAAAACTTAAACACAGAAAATCTTGTGTCCTGAATTTGTGATACTTCCAAGGTCTCTTGATCAAATGGAGCAGCAGCAGGCAGGGAAGCAAACCCAGGGGCCAATCCAGATGATTTTTATCAAGAACATCACCCAGAAGAAAGGGAGGCCTACAATGGCAGAGACATGGAGGTCAGTGAGGGAGGGAAGAGGTAAGCAGCTCGAAGAACTGGAAGGGGACATTCCTTGAGAGAAACAATGCTCCCAGCTCTTCTCTACACTCCTAGTCCTCTTTTCCGAAAAGAGCAGGCAGGTCTGATTCTTGCCATAGGCCAGACCTTGGGTTCCCCAGAGTAACGTTGAGAGGTATATTGTACAAGAACCAAGGAAGAAACTAACGTTTATGGCCAAGCATATTAATCTCATCTGTCATTTACCCTTCACAACTCTGTGCAGTATACATTATCTGTAATCATGCAAGGGAGTAAACTAGTGTCCCAAGGGGTTTGAAGATTTGACTAAGGTCACAAAACTAGAAAGTGGTGGAATTTCCTGGTCTACCTGGCTCCAAAGCCTGTGTCCTTTTCACCAGACCTTGATGGCTCTCTGTGGAGCCCCAGAACAAAGTGCAATCCTTCTTCGCAGGTTTTGGTTACTGGGGTAAAGAGAAGGGAAAGGTCACATCCTTTGTTTATGGCCCTGGGGTTAGCTGTACTGAGAGAAGAGCTGAGTACAGCTAGATACTGCTGCCTGCCATACACCCCCGTGGCCACACACCTCCTCCAGGACAGTGAGTCCTGGTGCCGTACCTCAGGCTCGGACAGAGGTTTAACCCTGGCTCTGCAGGCAAAAGGTATAAAGCGAATTACACTTCATAAGTTGCACAGTGTTCCAGGGCCTTAGCTCTATCATAGGCCAGGCACTGTGCTAGTCACCACAGTCCCTGCTCCAGGGAGTTCTCAGTCTAGTAGAAAAACAGATCAACACATTTGTGATATATTGTGTTAAATGCTGTAATGGAGAGATGAACCAAGTGGGCAGGAGCTCCCAGGAGGGAACCACTGACTGGGCCTAGACCAGGGAGCAGGAGGTGAAGGAACCAAAGAAGGTTTCACAAGCTGATGTTAGTCACAGCTATGGGCATGCTCCTGGGAGGAGCTAAGAGGAACAAGGATTAGTCAAAACAACATATATATGTATTACAGTATGTATTCCTATTATAAGATAGAAAATTCAATGAAAAGAAAGTCTCTGCTATTTTTACTCCACAGAGATAAGCGTTATTAAGTCTACTATAATTACTACAGAGATTCTAAATAGTAATTTAGAATAAATAGTATAACACTTATATAATGTACATCTTGACTTTGTCACTTAATTTACTTTAGAAATCTTGCCTCCACACACAGAGCTACCTCTTTCTTTTCATTAAGACTGTGTAGTATTCCACTGAAGGGATGTACCTCAGCGTGTAAGACCTGGTTATGTTGTGAGCTTTACAGCTACACTAGATTGGACTGGAATGGAGCCATTCTCTCCTCCCTTCCCTTTTCAGCTGGCAGGGCTTCTGACTTTGGGGACAGGGAACAGACAGTGCCACATAACCAGCAGGCATGCAAATATTTGCTGCCAAATCTCTGTTTCCTAGACCCACATATTTATTCATGTGGAACCTCTTTTCTTCTCCTGCCTGGACTACTGCAGTGGACTCCTCACTTGCCTCCAGCCCACCCCCCGCATGTCAGAATAATCTTCAGAGTAAGAAATTCAATCTCAATAAATACTCTCCTGCTCAAAATCCTTCAGTGGCTCCTAGTGCCCCTATAGTGGTTCTTTCTGGAGAGTCCATAACTTCTTTAAGAATTTCAGCAGCACAATGGATTTTCTCCCCGGGGGGAGAATGTACATACTGCCTGAAGTCCAGCCCCAGCCCTCAGGATAACATCTGAACTCCTTAGCTTGGCTCTCACAACAGGCACTCACCTCCCTCCAGCCTCATCTCATATTTTTCATACCTGTTTGCTTTGGCCATGCAGAATTATGTGCAGTTTCCCTTACACTTTATGCTGTTTCCTACCTTTGCACATGCTGTTCCCTCTGCCTGGAATACCCTTCCCAGATTTAGCCACCTGACAAGGTCTATTCTTTCTTGTACTCAGCGGGAGCACCATCTCTTCTGCAGTCTTTCTGAATCATCCCAGGGAGACATAGGCATTCACTCCTTCCTGCACTTTGTCCTAAAATCTCTAATCTAGCACTTTATTGTACTGTAATTGTCAGTTTTGCCATGAGACCTTGAGCTCCTTAAAGGCACAAGCTGGGCTTTTCAAATTTGTATTCCCATAGGTAGCAAAGCACCTGTCTTAAGTAATTCGTGCTTAGTTGTGGGATGAAGGAAAGAATAGCCCAAGTGCCACCAACATGTCTTTCATAATCTTCTCCTGCAGGAAGGAATCAGGTAATTCCAGAATGGGGGTATATCTACCATCCATAAGAGCAACTAATTTATTTAACCTAATCAATATTTGAACTTCAATTTTGCCTTTTTCTAAGCTATAATATCTGTATAATTATGTGTTGTGCCAGTTATACATTTTTTCTAAGATGCAAATATTAAAGATAGTTATCCCAGCACTACCTGAAGCAGCGTTTAAACTCCTACTCCTCTGACAAGAAGTATCTGAGATGCTTGTTATAAACATAGCTTCCTAGGTCCCACCCTAAATCCACTCAATCAAACTCTCCAAGGGAGGGACCTGGGAACTGTAGGTTTAACAAGTGCTCCCAAATGATTTTCATCTTTAAAAGAATTTGGGAAACAATGGACTGAAGAAAGCTCTCCACCATATTGGACAGTGCAGATACAGAACATTTCCATTATCGCAGAAAGGACTGTCCACTGGACAGGTTGAGGGGGCCTCTGAAGCCCTGGTGGTGCAATGGTTAAGAGCACGGCTGCTAACCAAAAGGCCAGCAGTTCAAATCCACCAGCTGCTCCTTGGAAACCATATAAGTAGTTCTACTCTGTCCTATATGGTTGCTATGAGTTGCAAATCGACTTGTCGGCAATGGGTTTTTTTTGTTTTTTTTTTTAGGGGGCCTTTGGAATGCAAAATGGCCACGTGAGGAATTTGTTCCACTGGGGTACAGGCTCAGAAGATGGGCTTTCATGGGGGCAAAAGTTCACATGACCTTTGCTAATAATGACTGAGAAAGATGGAAGGGTCGATTATCCTCAGCCTCAGAAATAAAACTCCCAGCAAGGATTTCCAGTAACTTTCTGTAAGGGACTCAGAAAAATGCAAAAAAGAGGTCCCAAATGTAAAGAATTTTCTAATAAACTTTATTCTTTTTGCTATCTTCTGTCCTCCAGTAGTGATCAGTGGTCAGTCTTTAGAAGGAAAAAGACCTGTGAGCTCAACTATGGTTGCAACAAAGAAAGGAGTGGGAGAGAGGGAGGGAGTGGCTGGCAGTTATTGAAGGAAGAGAGCAGGCTGGGTCCTAGAGACCACTAGTATTGGCTGAAAGGAGAGCTCAGGGTGTCAATTTGGGCCTGAGAAGGGACCCTGGGGCTTGACAAGAGAGGCCCATGTGTAGTTTCCAGCATACATTTGTGCATTCCTGCCTCAGCATTTGTTCACACCAGTTCCCTGCTGAAAATGCCTGACATTCTCCCTCCCTATTAACTCATGTAATAAATTTTTGCTGAATGCCTCTAAGTGCCAGATGCTGTGAACACAAATTAAGTCACAGATAGAGGTGTGTACATTCATTAAAATGGTATGGTATTTGATTGGAACTCTACTTGGAAAAAAAGGCAGAGTCCTATTTTATACTAGACAGAAAAATAAATTCTAGATAGTTTTGTAAGTATAAAAATAAAACCTAGAAATATTAGAAAAAAATATAAAAGACATTATGATCTGAGGTAGTGACAACATTCTTAAATGAGATAAAACATAAAAGCCATAGAAGACTGATAATTTGGACCTCATCAGAATTTAAAACTTGTCTGACAAAGGATAAGCAACATATTGCCAATTTTTCTTAAATTATATTCTGGAGAAAACAGTCACAACATATAAAATAATGAATTAATACTCATAACTACTTCAAACCATTAAGAAAAAATCCAGCACCTGAAAAGAAAAATGAGCTAAGGATATAGACGGCATGGCCAATAAACATATGCAAATATGCTCAACCTTCTTAGAAATCAGGATATTATAAATTACAACAATCAATACCATTTTTTACCCGAATGGCTAAAAGAAATTTTTTCAATACATTTTATACTGACATAATTATACTGGCATATTATATTGATAACATCAAAAGGAAATAGTACTTTCACATGGGAAAATGAACTGGTATCACCCCTTAGAAGTACAATTTAAAAGTATTTATTAAAATGAAAAATGCATACACCCTTTGACCCAGTAATTCTACTTCTACAGATATATTTGCATATTTATAAAAAGAAGCAAGTTTATTTTACTGTAGCATTGTTTGTAATAATAAAAAAACAACAATCAATAAAAAGTAAAATAAACTACAAATAAACTATATGATTGAAACACCTTATGGAATATTACATAGCAGTTAAAAAAATACAAAGTCGTTTTACATGAACTGAGAAGGAAAAGTGTTTAAGACATAATGCCAAATGGAGGGGACAAGAAAGATGAATACAGTGTGATACCATATACAGAAAACAAAACTTCCAGAACTAGATAGGCAAAGAAAAGGTCCTGAAGGACATTTATGAAACTGATAAAGAAGTTTACGTCTGGGGAGAGGAGTGGGATGTTGCCAAGCGGACTTGTACTTTATGTTTTGTGTGAAAATTTTCACAGTGAGACTGTATTATATTACTTGTGTAATTAAAAATAAACAACCAAATTAAATATATAAATCTTGATTGGATCATGTTTTTTTTTTTTTTTTCCTTAAAAGCTATAAAAGTTATTTGAGGAACAAAGGCAAATTTGAAAATGTACTATATACTAGATGATAATATTGTAAAATAAGGATGTTCTTATTTTTAGAAGTTTCTTGCTGAAGTATTTAGGGATGAAGTGTCAAGAAGTCTTCAACTTTCAAATGAGGAAGGAAAGAAGGAAAGGAGAGGAAGGGAGGGAGGGAGGAAGAGGGAGAAGGTATGAAGGAAAGAAAAATAAATGTCAAGGAAAATGATAAAACAAGAAGTTAATAATTGGTGAATCTAGGTGAAAGGTATTTGGGTGTTTGATATACTAGTCTCCCAAGTTTTCTGTGGGTTTGAAAGCTAAAAAAAAAAGAAAGAAGAAAAACCAAAGACCAACACTCCTCACCTAGATGAGAGTGATCAATTTCTCCCCTAAATTCCTATAACAATTAGCAATGTCACTCATATTACTAGTGATCACCTCAGAGAATGCATCTTATTCCCCACAAGCCCCTGAAAGGTTGAGACATCTTTCAATTCTTTCCCCCTCCCTGCTCCATGCCTAGTTAGCATGCCTAGTACAAAGCAGGCAGAGGCAAGTATGGTTGGGAAGTGAGTCCATATGGGCTGAGAGATACGTGACATTCACCTATGAGGTTGGCAAATACAAAATCAGGGTCTGGGATTACATCATGACTTCTGATAAGAGGTGTGATGGGTGTATCGGTCTCCTGGCTGCCCAGGCTGGTCCTAGCATGGAATCCGATCTTCCTAGTGGGACTACTGAATGGAACTATGGTAGAGTGTGCTGTCAAACCGCCAGAGTGGTCTTTAGGTCGACGCTTTGTAAATTACAAAATGGTAGAAAAACAAAGTGCTCTCAGGTATGTTTCTCTTTTGATCCTTACAATGACCCTACAAGATAAGTAATAGCACCATGTAACAGATAAGGAAACTGAGGTTCAGCGAAGGGAAATGAATTCTCCAAGGCCTTATAGAGAGCAAATGGGCTCAACCCCACGTCCTCAAGTCTGAAGTTCTTTCCACTAGACCATGCAGTCTTTTTTGGGGTCTGACTCCTAACCAAGGAGAAGAAAGACATGCTTACCTGATTCAGTCTTGGTCTGGGCTACATCTCCCCACACTGTGAGATCACCACAGGCAGCTTGGGTTTATTGTTGGGGCCTGTGGGAACATTCTAGGAAACAAAGCACAGCAGAGATTCATTCATTCAGACACGCACTCACTCATTCATCACACATTTACTGATGTCTGCCAGCCCCTGTGCTAACGGCAGAGGACTCAGAGATTGATATGACAGTCCATGTCCCGGGAGACAGGTAAAGCATATAAAACAGATCAAAGAGAAAACGTAAAACATTTAAAAAATATCAAACCTATGATATGTAACAACATAATAAGTGATAAAAGTGAATTATATAAAGGGCAGAGGAAGCAACTAAATTGCTGCTTAAAGAGGTCAGGGAAGGATTCACAGAAGAGGTGACATTTGAGGTGGACCTAGAAGGATGAATGAGATCCTGAGAGGGGGAAAACAAAGGAGAAGAGCATTCCAGATAGAGGAAACAGCATGAGCAAAGGCACAGCGGCAGAAAAGAGTAAGAGGCAAGGGTGTGTATCACGTATTTAGAGAAGATATCGTAGCATGATGCAACTGGAACAGGGAGGAGAAGGGGCTGTGGAGAGGTAGGCAGGGACCAGATCATGAAGAGTCTTGAATGCAATGCTCAGGAGTAGGATTTCATCAAGGAGGTGAAGAGGCCATCAGGGAACAAGCTTCAGTGCGTACAAGAGAGACTAATTTGGGGAGCCATCTTTCCTTCCATTTCCAGGGAGTCTGTGTAACAGGAGGCAATGAAGACTGGGCCTAATGAACTAGAATCCATTCACCCTTCACTTACTCCTCAACACTAATCAGTTAGCACCAGACCAGAATGGCTGCAGAAGAGGAAATCAAATAGGACTTACCTCAATTTTTCTCATCACTAGAAGTCCATCAATGATTTTTCCTGTAAGAAGAGTATGAGCTGGACTTCATTCTTCGCATTTGCATAGAATTTTCCAGCTTCCAATGCCCATTCTTAGCCATTATTTCATTTGGCCCTCTTACTAATTTCAGGAAATTGAGATTCAGTGGAGGTGAAATGACTTGCCCAAGGTCACAGCTAGTAAGCAGCAGAGTTAGGGCTCACACCTAGGTTGGAGTGCCATGCTGCCTCTGTGTGGCATTTCTTTAGTGCTAGCATCCAGGTTTTCCCCCAAATATACACATCACCCAAGTTGTTACACAACATATCAGATGATCCCTTTGTCCTTTCCTATACTTCTTTAACCACACATCCTCCTCATCTTCCCACTACTTCCTCTTTCCCTATTACTACCCAGAGCAGTTATAGCAACCGAGCAGTCTTGATGTGAGAGTTCGGGGACTGACTCCTTTTGAAGCCAGCCCCCCACACCCCACCCTGGGTAAATAGGGCCTGGACAACGGGACTGGAGAAGGGCTTACCAAACACCACATGCTTCCCATCCAGCCAATCACACTTAGAACAGGTGATGAAGAACTGGCAGCCGTTTGTACTGGGACCACTGTTTGCCTGATGGAAACCAAATAAATTGCAGTGAGTTTTTCTGGCCATACTAGTCGAAGGGCAAGATTTCCAAAAGAGCCTGCAGCCCTGATTTCTCCACGCTTTCTTTCAGTAAACCTTCACTGGGCACCTATTTTGAGGAAGGCCCCAAGCTAGGGCCTAAGGATACAGAGATGAACAAGATATATAACCCCTGCCCTCAAAGAGTTAGAGCTATAATAAAGTAATGTACATTTTTCCTACACTGTGAATTTTTATAATGGGAACAAATATTTATAGGACATGATTTGCTATATTAAGTCTAATACTAGTTATAACTGGGTTACAGTTGCAAATTAGCTACCAGCTAGGAAAAGACCTGTTGCCTATAAAATAAAGCTACTTTGTCTGAAAGGCTTTACACTATCATAAAAATGGTAGTAAATGGTAATGGTAATCTTAAGGTGCAAGAAGCTGTCATGCTAGTGCAACACTAGAAAAGAGACTATACTTAATTAATGATGTTTAGGTTTTATAGTTACACATTTATAGCTACACACAAAACCCTTAATTATTGAATTTTACAGAAAAAAATATTTCTTTAAATTGAGAATCTGAGACTCTCTAGTCCTATCCCTTCTCGTTTCCTCCTTTAAAACTGTTTTTATGTCATGATAAATAATAACATCTTACAAAAGAACAGGCTGCAATTACAATGCGAGCGATAAATGCTTTGTAAAGAGACTGTCATATGAAGTGTACTTTTGTACATTACATAGTTATGCTCCTAGACTGCCTTTAATACGCAGTCTAGGAACATAAGTATATAATGTACAAAAATTCAGACTTTTGTACATCAGCAAACCCAAGATTAGTTTCAGCAGCATTGCCTTACAACAGTTATCTGTACAATTAAGTGAATATTTAATAGCGTATTTCCCTTATTTTAGAAAAAAAATTGAGTAGAAAATGGACAACTACTAATAGGAAGCACAGGTCTCATAAAATTAATGCTACTGAGACAAAACTGGAATTATGAGCTAGGTCACTAGCCTTAATCAGATGCTTAATGGATTTAAATTGCTTGATTCTGTGTTCAACTATGAAGAAAAAAAAACACGTAGGAAATACTGGAAATGCATTAAAGACACTATTGAGGGATGAGCTCTAATTAGGGATTTTATATTTTAGAAATCTCCCACATAAGATGAAACTATTTTTGTTTTGTGTAAATGTGTTCAGGAACATTTCATACATGAAAGTACAGGATGGCCTAAGGCTGTCAGAGTAGGCCCAGGATTTGTAGGAATGGAGGGATAGAATTCCCAGGGACCCCAATACATTCCATTTATCTATTAATTTTTTTTTTTTTTTGCTGCTTAATGTATAAACATTTATCAGCAAGCAGGCACAAGAACAGTGATACAACATGCCTTTACAGCACACACTCTCTGCCCTTAGCCATTCAATTTATTCATCCTTCTAGGCAGTATAGATACCTGATTAAGACAACACACTCTGGAGCTCTGGAGCCAGATGACTTAGTTCAAATCCCAGCTCCACCACTGACTAACTGTGTGACCATAGATTAGTCACATCACCTCTCTGTGCCTCAGTTTCCTCATTCGTACCTATCTCAAAAGGACATTGAGAGGATTAAAATGAATTAAGGCAAATAAGAGCACTTATCGAGTAAACGCTCAATAAATTTTAGCCATTATTCTGAATGACATTCCATCATTGACCCACATCTGCTCAGCAGCCTTTCTGTGTTAGTAGTAAGGCCTAGACAGCAATATAAACCTAGTCCCTGCCCTTGTGGAACTTCTAATTTAGTGGAGGATGGATGCAAAAACAATTATGATATATGATATGTGACAGTACAACCTCAAGCTTAAAGGGGGCAGAAGCCAAGTCTTCCTTCCATTTTCCTGAATCCTCCACAGATACTAACACAATGGTATAGGGTCACCATGAGTCAGAATTGACTCGACAGCAACTAGTAAGCCACTGTGCACCCTCTACCTGTGTTTGTCCAGCCTTGCTTTCCTAAAAAGGGGTTTGCACACTCGCTATACTGGTCCCACCCAATCATTATGGCAGCCTCCTAACTGGCTTCCTTGCCCCAGCCTCTCCATTCCCACCTGCCACTCACACTGCAGCCAGGGTCTTCATTCTAAAACACAAAGATGACCAACTCTGCTCAAAAAATGGTATGGTTCTCCATAGCCTATGAAAGAAAGTCCACACACCTTATCCTTATTCTGGAATTTAAAGTCCTCCAGGAGCTAGACCTAGCTGCTCTCCAGTTCTCTCTTCTGGCCATTCCCTCTCCCTATTCTCATTGCCCCTGGTCACACTGTCTGGTCCTTGAGTGTGTCCACTGCTATTTCACGGTAACAGATATCCACACAGGCTGTTTGCTGGATTTGAAAATGTCCTCTCTTCCTTTTCCATTTGGTACAGAACTCCTTCAAGAACTCAAACATGACCTCCTCTGTGAAGCCTCCCCCAGACCCTAGCAGCAATTATTCTCATTCCTTTGGGCTCTCCCAGTACTTTTCCATACACTGAGGTGCCATCACCTTAATACAATGATAGCACGATGACATTCTACTAGGATCGTCTTTTTGCATGTGTGACAGCCCTATTAGATGTTAAGAATCATAAGGGAAGGGATCATGTTTGTATGCTTGTCTTACCATGAGGCCTACAACACAGTGGATGAGTGGAGGGGTGGGCTAGCAGGACAGAGACTGCATGTAAACACTGGGCTGGGGAAGCAAGTGTTGGGGCACTGACACAAGGAAATGGATAACTGGGAGGGAGTGAGAGGGCTGGAGAGAAGGAATTGAGGGGCAAGGGGAAGGGAAATGAGGAGTGAAGGGTGAACAGGGGAAGGTAAGGGAGAGTGAGCATGGGAGGAGAGTGCATGCGGATGGGGTAAATGAGGGGGTGTAAGTGAGGAGGGCGGGAGGACTGTGACAGGAGAGCGAGTGAGGAGATGTGAGTGGGGGTTATGAATGGGGTCAGGTGCAGGGAGGAAGGAACAGGAGTGTTGAGCAAGGAAAGGTGAGCAAAAGGGGTGGCCAGTGAGTAGGCAGTGTGAGTGAGTGGATGCTGGGAGGGAGCAGTGGTGAGCGCAGCGATGAGCGAGTGAACACTAAGGTTCTGAAAGCACAACCGGCTGGATCCTGAGCAGTAAGGCTGAATGCCCAGCAACACGTGCTGGCTCAAACAAAGGAGAGAAAAACACAAATCAGAGTTCAGCTTTGGCTCCCCAGCCTGCCAGTGGGCCCTGCCTAACAAAACCAAACCAGACTGAGGAAGGAGTCCAGGGTGGCAGAGGTAAGTCCTGGGCCAAGCTAGAGGAGAAAAGCATCTGATTCCATCCCTAGAGGCAGCACTGGGCCTCAAAAGGGGCCTAGGAAGCAGCTGGCTATAAATCTAACCCAAAACTTTGAGTTCGACCACATCACTTACCATGGAAAGCAGGCCTGGTGCTGAGTGTCTTAGTTTAAAATTTTCATCTGCAAATGGTCCTCGGTAAATACTGGCGACTCCAGTGCCATCTCCCTGTGCAGAGAGAAGGAAGTGTTAGCAGCTCAGAGTGTTGGGCCCCTGGAGCCCAGAGGAAGAATGTTGCTGCACCTAAATCCTACCGTCTTTAAGGTCTACTCTCACCCTTGTTCACCTTAGAGCCACACCTCCTTGACCTTATCCTGCAATCAAAGCAAGCCCCGTCCAAGCCTACCACAGTCCATAAGCTATAGCCAGGGTACCTCACAGACTGGGCAAAACAGATCACAGCTGAGCCTCCAGAAAGATAGGCAAATTAGGAAACAACAACAGTCTAGTGATCACATACATAATCCTTGCCATTCCTAGACGCTTCTGCCCACAGTTGTATAAAACTACTGACTACCATCCCACTCCCCCAAACTATACATGAGGTGGCTGAGCTCTTGGCAGTCTAGTCTGTACAACACGATGTCACCCTCCTGGCAGTTAAAATTGTAACATCTAAATCTGGAAGCTGGAGGTGACTGTCTTCTAGAAGGTGAATTAGAGACCAGAAAGAGAACATAACAGATGTATAGAGAGCACTAGAGAAAAACAGAGAAAGGATTGTCTTGGTTCTGTGTGGCTTTTCAGTTCCCAGTTCTATTTCTTCGTTTGGGTTCCAAGAAACACCTCTTTAGCCTTATCATAAATTCTAAATTTCTGCTTGAACTATCCTTACTTGTATTATTTCTTTGTTCTTCCAACAATCCTGTGGAATGAGCATTATTACTCTCCCTATTTTTCAGGTGAGCAAGCTGAAATCAGGGTAATGAAGCAACCTGACCAAGGCCTTACTTGCAGTTCCTTGAATGCTATGATCCACATTCGTCCATACCTGTCAGTCTTTCACCCAGGCTGTTCCCTCTGTCTAAAACATCTACCCCTTCCTTCACATGGTGAAATCCCACGTGAATTTAGGACCTTCCCTGGACCCCACACAAGGTCAGGCCCCCTTCCCTCTTCTTCTATAACATCCTGTGCTTACTGTATACTTTCCCACTTACTGTAAGTGTCTGTGCTGAGAGGCAGCATAGAGTAGAGGTTAAGAGCATGGGCTCTGAAATCTGAATCCTGGCTGCATCACAGAAAAGCTGCATGAACTTCAGCAAGTTACTTTTCCTCTTTATGCCTCAGTTTCCTCACCTGCAAACGGGGATAATAGTCCTACCTCATTTAAGATTCTGAAGATTAAGTGCAATCATGGGTAAATTACTTAGAAAAATAAGTAGTTAATGCTGCAAGTTAGTATTTATTATATTTAAGCTATCAGTCTTACCCACTACTGTCTAGTAGTTCTCAATCAGAGATGTGCATCAGAAACAGCCAGGGGGCTTTTCAAAAACATACATGCTGGGGCCCGACTGCACACCTACTGAATGAGTCCCAGGTGATTCTGATGATAAGCCCTGGTTAAGAATGACTGCACTAGACTAAGCTGAGCTCCTTGGAGGCAGGACTGTATTTTTTTCTCCATATAGCTGGGCAGACTAGATCAGAGGCTGGCAAACTATGGCCAAATCTGGCCAGGAGCCTTAGTTTGTAAATAAAGGTTTACTGGAACACAGTCCTGCCTATTCATTTATGTACTGTCTATGGCTGCTTTCAGGCTAAAATGGTAGAGCTGAGTAACAGCAGAGTTAAATAGCTAAGGCAGAGACCCTATGGTTTACAAAGCTTGAAAGATTATTTGGTCCTTTACTGAAAAAGTTTGCTGATTGCTAGAATAGATGAATAAATGAAAGTGAAAACATTAATTAATTCAGTGGTAGAGGATTCTTGTTCTTAAGTCCATGGTTTTATCACTATGCTTCAGCCTTTTCTACTTCCAAAAAAACCAGTCATTGAAAATCTTATGGAGCACATTTCTACTCTGACACACACTGAGTCAGAATTGACTCGATGGAAACTATTTATTATATCTTTAACTACCTCTGGAGCCCTGGTGGCACAGTGGTTAAGAGCTATGGCTGCTAACCCAAAGGTAGGCAGTTTGAATCCACCAGCCACTCCTTGGAAACCCTATGGGGCAGTTCTACTCTGTCCTATAGGGTTGCTAGAGTTGGAACAGACTTGATGGCAACAGGGTTGGTTTTTTGGTTTTTAACTACTTCTACATACTGGAATCGACTCAATGGCAACTGTTATAGATTAAAATTGTGTCCCCCAAAAACATGTGTCAATTTGGCTAGGCCACAGTTCCCAGTATTGTGTGATTGTCCTTCATTTTGTGATCTGATGTAATTTTCCTGTATGTTGTAAATCCTGATCTCTGCCCACGGTTAAAGAGGCGAGATTAGGTTATGTTAAAGAGGATTAAGGTGGGATGCAACATCCTTACTCAGGTTACAGCCCTGATCCTATGTAAGGGGTGTGGGCTGTATCACCTTTTATCTTATGAGACAAAAGGAGAGAGAAGCAAGCAGAGAGATAGGGACCTCATTATCACCAAGCAAGAAGAGCCAGGAGCAGAGTGTGTCCTTTGGACCCAGGGTCCCTGTGTTGAGAAGCTCCTAGACCAGGGGAAGACTGATGACAAGGACCTTCCCCCAGAGCTGACAGAGAGAAAAGCCTTCCCCTGGAGCTGGTGCCCTGAATTCGGACTGCTAGCCTCCTAAACCGTGAAGGAATAAACGTCTATTTCTTAAAGCCATCCACTTGTGGTGTTTCTGTTACAGGAGCACTAGATAACTAAGACAGCAACTAACAACAACGTACATGCATATACAAAGGATAGGAAAAACAAGTTCATTTCCAATTTTCCAATTAACCTAGAGGACAGATCGGTTACTATCCCATTCTCTATAACCACACTACCTATTGCTCTCTAGAAGCCAGAGTAGGGAAAACAACAAAATTAATTATTCAGAGCAAACAACAGAAAGCAACTTAAATCTTCAACAAGAGTGGACTGACATAGTCTCATGGGACAACTAGGTCAATTGGCATAACTTAGTTCATAAAGATAATGTTCTATACCCTAATTTGGTGAGTAGCATCTGGAGTCTTATAAGCTTGCAAGTGGCCATCTAAGATACAACTATTGGTCTCTTCCAGAGTGAAAGAAACCAAAGACTCAAGGAAGAAATTAGCCGACAGGACTAATGGCCCACGCGAATCACAACCTCTCCTACCCTGAGACTAGAAGAACTATATGGTGCCCAGCTACCACTACCAATTGTTCTGACCAGGGACACAATAGAAGGTTCTGGTTAGAATGGGAGAAAATTGTGGAACAAAACTCAAATAAAAGACCAGACTTACTGGACTGACTGAGACTAGAGGAACCCCTGAGACTATCGCCCTAAGATACCCTTTTAACCTGGAATTGAAGCCACTTCTGGAGGTCACCTTTCGGCCAAATAATAGATTGGCCTATAAAATAAACAATAACACCCATGAGGAATGTTTCTTTAAGCATCAACTACACAAGATCAGATGGTCAACATTTACACAAAAGCAAAGACGAGAAGGCAAAGAGGGGCAGGGAAACTGGATGGATGGAAACGGGGCAGGTGGGGTGGACGTGGTGAGAGGGCTGGCACATTACAGCGACTGTAACCAATGTCACAGAACAATCTGTCTATGAATTGTTGAATGGGAATCTAATTTGCTATGTAAACTTTTACCTAAAACACATTAAAATATTTTTTAAAAATAGTGGATCAATTAAATAAATTGTCTATTCATAATGGAATATTAGGCAATTGTTAGAAACATGTTTTAGAAGACTTTGTGACAAGGAAAAATGCTGACAATTATTAAGTACAAAAAAATTAGAAGATACGTATGATCTTAAGTCTGTAAAAAATTATATATACACACATATATGCAAAAATAGGACTGATGGCTGTAAACCAAAATGCCAATAGTATATTTCCTGAGAGGTGAGACTTGAGGGTGATTTTCTTCTCTGTACTCTTCTTTTGCTAGAACCAACTAACGTCTAACCCTGGAGCTATCAGCAAGTGAGCAATGTACCTGGGGCAAAGACCAGTAAGAAGCTGGCCCTGTCCCTGCTAAGACAATCTGGCAACACTGGAGCCTATGAGAGAGGAAAGAAGGCAGTCTTTCTTACCAGCTAACAAAAAAGAATACGGTCACCTCCAAGCTCCACTACCATCAGTTGTGGCCAGAGGTTGCAAACTTAAAATGCCTACTGGAGCAGGTGACACAAATAAGGAAAGCGGGTACTGGGGACTGTGGTGAAGTGGCAAGGATGTGCCCTGTCTAAAGGGAGTAGTTACTTGATTCCAGCCAATTGTTACTGCACAGGAAATGCTGCCCTAGTGTACTCCCATCTTCCATTTTTTAAAAGAGAAAACTCCACAATTTTTTGTGAAATTTCTCAGTTTTACAACACAACAAACACATCTGAAAGCCTGATTTACCCTAAGACCTGCCAGTTTGCAACCCTATATAGGCTAGGAAAGAGAGAGATCTTGAAAACTCATGAATAATAAAACTAAAGAAACAAACACATGAAGAAAGAAATGTCTCCCAGATTCAAGAAAACAGCAACATGACTGTATAATAATCAAATGATATGAATATGAGTAAAGAAAGACGATGCACAGAAGTGGGTAGGTAATGAGAAACACAGGTTTGAGTAGGAAAAAATGTGGCTTATTTGGCATCCTCCAAGGTGGAGGGGTTGGTGAGGAGGTAAGGCTTGATATGGGGATGCACAGTTAGTCACAAGAAAGATGTGCTTAGCAGTGAAGGAATATTCCACTGGGCTCTCAGTCTCTCAGTGAAAAGAGGAAGCATCCCTCAAGAATTATTTACCTTTCTTGCTCTGATTCCTTGCCTACTAATCAACTTCCAATTAAAAACTCAGCTTTCCAGGCACTGTGATACCAAGAATGGGACATAAGGGACATAAGCATTTTGGGGGACTTACCCCATTTTATCTGGTGCCCTCTAGTTGATTTTGACTCATATAGTACAGTGGTTAAGAGCTCAGCTGCTAACCAAAAGAAAGTGAGCAGTTTGAATCCACAAGCTGCTCCTTGGAAACCCTATGGGGCAGTTCTACTCTGTCTTATAGTGTAGCTATGAGTCGGAATTGATTTGACAGCAATGATTTTGTTTTTTGGTTTACCCCATTTTAAGAAAACAAATTGTATCTGAGTTCTGAACAGGTTTCATGTGACTATAATTAGTGTGGGTCTGTTATACAGAGCTGAGCATCTTTAGGTGTGCTGGGACATTCCAGTTTCTGGCTGAGGTTTGCACCATGAAAGCTAGTGACTCAATCAAAATGCAGATGTCTGTCATCTAGTGGTACAGTTGTAGCCAGCAACCCTAAATGACATCCCCACCACAATCCTCCATCTCCCATCGAACCTGACTATTGTTCTCAAACTTGAAGACTGGGTCCCTGTAGTAAAAACAGCAGCAACAGCAGCAGTCACAACAAAAAACAAACCTACAGGTCTTTAATAAGAAAGGAATAAAACTTACATTAACAAAATCTCCACCCTGGATCATGAAATCCTTTATGACCCTGAAAAAGAGGGAGAACAAAGAATTCTGAGAGAAAATTGTATGGTTTAGAAACATTGTAGTATTAGATTAGCATCGACTTCAAAATATAATGTTTATTACTTTGGCTTACAAAATGATTGTTCTCTCCTGGAATGAATGAGTTGAAAGGATAATTAACCATAAAAAAGGGTTTTAATTATAATTAGAGTTGACCTAGATACATGAGCTGGTACCTGAACAGTAACAAGAGGGACTGAAGCCCTGCAGGAAGAACTCCAAAATATTCACCAAAGCAAATGGCAGATCAAGGGCTTGATACAAATTTTTGAAAAAAGGACCACAGAAAATGTCTGTGAGATGCTAACCATGGTCTGCTACACACACGCCAAAATAAAAAAAAACAAACAAACCCATTCCCATCAAGTCAATTCCGACTCCTAGTGACCCTACAGAAAAGAGCAGAACTGTCCCATAAGATTTTCAAGGAGCAGCTGGTGGATTCAAACTGCCAGTCTTTTGGTTAGCAGCCAAACACTTAACCACTGAGCCACCAGGGCTCCACTACACACATCAGAGCTCAATAAATGTTAGTTATTGCAAGGTCCTTCATCTTTCCTAGCCTCAGTTTCCTCATCTATAGAATGTAAATAATACCTACCACCTCATAGGAATGTTATATTAGAGACCATAGCTTTAAAGCAGCCTGACACAGTCACTTGTTAATTATCGTTACTAGCCACAATGAGGCCTTTGAGGCAGATTCCAAATTGAAACAAGGCTATCTAGGTGTTGCCACACTCCACTTAAGGTTGGCCCAGGAGAAAACTGATCATCCTGGGATAATCATGTATGATCATTTTAATAAGTAGTTATAAATATCAACAAGATATAATATTTTATACAGTTAAGGGCTGCAACTATACTAAAAAGAAAAAAAAACCTGCATTCACCCAAACAAGGTCATGAAAAAGACAGAATACTGGAATTACAGGTAACTTCTATTTTAAATAGCTAAAAGGAATTAGTGGAAGAGTATTAGCAGAGTTAGAACATTTGATAAATCTTCAAATTGGTTGCTGAGTCCGTAAAAACATTTCTTCCCAAGATCTAAGACTTAGCCTCTGGTTTTCTCTTCCTCTGATTTTAGAGCCTAATCCTCCAAGGAAGCAATCCTGAACACTCCCAGGATGGCATGCCAAAGGCTTACCTGTGGAAGGTGCTCCCTTTGTATCCTATCGGTACCCCATCTTTTCTATAAACAAAAAGGAGAAGATTTGGAATGAAAACAGGCAATCACAGGTCTTTCCACACACTCCACTCAAAGGAGCTTTTCTTAAGATAACTGAGAGAAGAGATAGGAGTGAAAATAGACTGAAGCTAGGCCCCTGGGGTATAAGCTTCTATCACAGTCAGTAGCAAGCATTCAAAGCTTGCTGGTGTTCCCCAAGACCCCCATTGCAGCTCAGTACACCCTGCAGGAGCAGCTAGCAAAGTCAACCGTGTCTGAGACTGACCTGAATTCTCCTGTGCAGAACTGCCTGAAAGGGAAGAGTGAACGATTCAGTCATCATGTCACCACAGCTGTGAGAGCCTCAAATCTAGGGAGGGGAGGGCACAGACATCAGAGCTAGCTACCCCAGTGCCAGGAAGTATGCCAACTAGCCAGCCAAAGGTCAAGACTCCCAGTCATACAGACCAACAACGTAAATTGACACGGGAGCACTCAAAACGGTAACTATTTGGACAGAGCGATCGATACTCAGAATCAGATCTCTCAAGGGCAGTGACTGCACAGAAACAGAAGAATAGACAACGATTGCGCAGACCGAATGGGGCCCGGCTTCCGGCTGGGTTAATCCGGCAGAGCTGGAACATCACCTTACCTAAAGTTCTCGGACGTTTTAGGCACAACGTCTGCAAAGAGCTCGATCTTCATGCGGCCAACTTCCTGCAACCGGCGAGTGACAAAAAGCCCAGTTCAAACCCGTGAAGGCCTAGTAGCCGGGAGCATGAAGGGCTGGCCCACCCTCCCATGCTGCTCGCGATCTCCCACCTCCGCCTTCATAGCCTAACCTTTCCTTCCGCCCAATCCCTCCACAAGCGGGGTGCTAGGATGGCCAAGAATCCTCTTTCTCCCTCCCTGTCCCGCTCCAAACAGGTCAGTCAGTACGTTGTGGCCCAATTTCACTTTCTGGCTTCCCGAGTCCGCCATCCTTGGGTTTATGAGTTCTGTCTGCCCGGCCCGATGCAGTTCTCCTTTGTTGCAGGGCTGGGTGGCTGCCTGTATCTCACCTGGCCGCCAATGCTGATATCAAAAAATACCACGGGGTTGACAGGGCTTGAATTTGCCACCGCCATGGCTTCGACCCGGAAGCAGAAAGATAGAGCGCAGGGTTCAGGCAAACCTAATCCGAGAGCCGAAGAGTTTGTCTGCCGCGCAGGCGCGAAAGAAGCTGCCCGAACTGGGCCCCGCCCCCGAAAGCCCCGCCCATGCCGCGCAGCCCTCGGGGACCCCTGCGCTTAAGCGAGCGGGACTGGGGAATCGCACAGGGCTTCTTTGGCCTTGGTAAGGAAATCGTTCACCAGCTGTTAGCTCATTTGACCCTTAGGGGGTGGGGAGGGGTAGGGCAGAGGAAGAAAGCCTCTGTACTTTATTTCTCAAGGTCAGTGGGTACCCAGCTCCCATGACTTTACCAAATGCAGTACAAATTATTCTCACTTAAGCTAGTGGGTTTGGACTTTACCCAATGCAGTACAAATTATTCTCACTTAAGCTAGTGAGTTTGGACTTGGCAGTCTCCAAGGGTTTTTTTTTTTTCTTTAGGTGAAGGTTTACAGAGCAAATTAGTTTCTCATTAAACAATTAATATACATATATATATACTTTTTGTATCCCAGGAGTCCGTAGCCTGATTTTTTTATTGTGCTTTAGATGAAGGTTTACAGAACAAATAGTTTCTCATTAAACAGTTAGTACACATAGTTTTATGACAATGGTTAACAACCCGACGACATGTCAACACTGTCCCTTCTCAACCTTGGATTACCTGTTACCAGCTTTCCTATCCCCACCTGCCTTCTAGTCCTTGTCCCTGGACTGTTTACACATATTGTTTTGTAACACTGCTTACCAACCTCAGAACGTGTCCACACTCTCTCCTTCTGGACCTTGTGTTCCTCATTTCCATTAGTCCAGCTTTCCTGTTCCCTCCTCTGCCTTCTTGTTCTTGTCCCTGGGCTGGTATGCCTATTTAGTCTCGTATACATGGTTGAGCTATTGTATTACTGTTCATTTTATGGGCCTCTCTAAATCTTTGGCTGAAAGGTGAAAGTCTCCAAGGTCTTTATCAGCTGTTACAGTTAAGGTCTCTGAACCATCACACATGCTGTTTTTCTCCTTGTCCATTAGTCTGTGAGACGCCCTGAAGGCAAGCACACCGGTTTGTTCACCCTTAACACTTAGAACAGCCTGGTACACAGTGAGGGCTTCCTTCATATTCAATTCTTCCTTGAAGTCAGGACACTAGAATTTTAGTTCCAGTTCTGCCACAAGCTTCCACTTTTGTCCTCTCCAGCTCATTTCCCATGCAGCAGCTAGAGCTTTTAAAAGAATTCTTCTGCTATAAATGTCTCCTGGCTCAGAATAAAATTCAATTACTTACCTACAGAGGCCTAAATTATCTGTACCTACCTGGCCTCATCCTGCACAACTTGCCCTCAGTCACTATGCTCTGGCTTTTCAGTTCATGGAGATCACTGAAGGTCGCTACCCTCTCAGGGCCTTGGTACTAGCTGAAATATTCTCTCAGATCTTAGTGGGGAGCAAGGAGGGTATCCTTGTTGTTCTGGGCTCATCTCAGGTGTCACCTCCTCAGAGAGAAAGCTGCATCCAATATAAAGTAGGCCTGGGTCACTCAGATCACTGGTTTATTTTCTTCATGCCACTCACCATCCAAAATTATATTGTCTATCTCTACAACTCACCCCTGTGACACACACACAACTCTTCTCCCAAATAAAATATAAACTTCTTGGAAGCAGAGACTCTCCTTTTCTGTCTTGTTCACCTACTACTGAATAGCACGTAGTAGGTATTCAATAAATAGATCAATCGAGTGAAAGAATGTGATCTAAGGCAAGGCTCAGAAGCATGCATTCAATATACTTATTATTTGTTCCTGTATACTTTGATCATCCTTTCTAGTTCTGTGGTCTGGGGAAGCAAAAGTTGCACATAAAAATTCAGTATGTCTCTACCATTCGATCCAGCAATCCCACTCCTAGGAATATATCCTAGAGAAATAAGAGTCATCACTCGAATAGACATATGCACACCTATGTTCATG